CCGGCATGAACAGCGCTCACCAATTTCATCTTCTCATTGGCGCATAGAGAAGTTTGCTTTAAGCTGGTTGTGTTGCTGTAGCTGGGTGCCCTCGAGATGAGGATGACTCCTGGGATCAGCAGGTCGGGACCTTGTCCTATCCTGTGCCATCCTCATTGTCGCTGACACACTTGACCCCAAAGCTGCTGTGTTTGTGTCAGTCATCTTGTTAAGGGTCTTGCTCTCTTTTCCTGGCCCTCTGCCTTTCCAAGCATGATGTCCCTTTGCTCGGAATTAGCTAGTTAAGGCTGACATGTTTCTGGGTTTTCGCACCAGGGCCCTCTGCTTGGTGGGTCGGCCTGGCTTCGATGGAATTCCAAGGGTAGGGTCATCTGGACTTTGAAGACCCCTCCTGCTTCCCAGCACCGTGCACATCCAGGTCCTGCTTTGTCTTTCAGGTTGGCTGGTTTCCTTCAACGTACGTAGAAGAGGAGGGCGTCCAGTGACAGCAGGGACTTGGGCTGGACGCGCCGATTTCTCGGACTTGTCGCTCCAGCTCGGAAGTCGGTCTCTAACTCCACGGCCTGGAGGGACCATGCTGACCAGCCTGTAGGGGTGGGCTGGGTGTTCAGTGTCCCACCCTCCCCGTGTCCTTATGACCCTCCTGGGGCTTGTGACTTGTACATAGAGGAAATCTAATCTACCCTGCTGTGGGAGCACCAAGGAGGGTTGTCCAGGGTTTATGGGCAGACTCTGGGTGACCGCTGAGGCCTGAGCGCCTGCCTGCCCAGTCCTGCTGACATGACACTCAGGAGCCCAGGTTTAAGTGGCAGAGGCTGTCCCAGGGAGGGCTAGGGACAGCAGGCCGACTGTCCAGGCCCCTCTTCCCAGCCCACTCACTCAGCGCCTGTCGCCTGCTGCTTGCTCTGACGCCCAGGGCGAGGCTGAGGCTGTGGTCCTTGAGGGCAGGAAGGCCCAGGGCCAGCCCTCTGCTGTGGCCCCTGATCTGCCTGGCTACATGCGAGCACTGAAGGTGCATTGCAGAGGGGTTCCGTGTGGTCACTCCGACTCCCAGGACTCCATTTGCCTTCCCCACTGCCCTCCGCACCATCGCAGACCCCTCTTGGTAGGAGTCTTAGGAACGATGAAACCACTGACCCTACTGCCCTGTCCATGGTACTGTCCTTCCCCAGCCCTCAGAGCCCTTCTCTCGAATCCTAGGAATGTGTCTGCCCTGCCCTGCTGCCAGGTATGCCCATCCTTCAGAAACCCTAAAATGGGCCTGGAAGAAAACGGGGGCTTCTCCTCGCTCGGTCCCTGCTGCTCGCATTCCAGATGGAGACCCTTCGTTGCTCCCTCCTGGGCAGGCCCCCCGGGCTCCTTGGGTCCTGCAGGGTGGTCCCTGGAGGTCCTCCCAGCCTTTGCACGGGACGTCTGTCCCCGCTGTCCCCAGGACTTTCTCCTAAAGGCTCCTGCAGCCTGCGTGCCAGGCTTGTGGCCAGCCCGGAATAAGTGCTCTTGGGGGCTCCTCTCCCCCTCATCTGCCCTCCTGTTGTCTCCTGGCCTTTGACCTCTGACGGGCATGTCCAGACTATACCCTCACATTGCATGAGAACTGGTGACACTGACTCGCTCCAAGCTCTGTGCCAAAGCTGCTGTGACTTTTGGGGGCCCCCTGACAGCCTCCTCCCACCCCGGGGCCCTAAGGCTGGTGGGAAGCAAGCAGCTGAGGAGACTGCTCCCTCCTGAGGGATGTGCTGAATGCTGCCTGGGCCGGGGTCCTCTCTGAGCTCAGCCATGTGACCTCCGTCTAGGGTCACACGCCCAGCATCCTGGGGCGTCAGAAAGATGATGTTCCTCCAGGGGACTCAGGACGGAAGCCTGGAGAAGTGAGGGGACGCGCGGGGCATGCAGGGAGCTCTGGAGGGCGTGCTCGGGGTCCTTGTCTGTCAGGTACAGGGACGCTGTGCCGGTGACCTCGGACCAGCCTCCTCGTGTTTACTCTGGTCAGAGCCTTTGTTTTTTTGGTTTGTTGAGTTTGTTTTTTGTTTGTTTTTTTTTTTTGAAAGGGGGTAAATTTGCAATTATTTCATGCAAATCTCCCGTAATGTATCTGTGAACAATAGAAGGTTTATAAGAGGAGGTGGGAAGCCGTCTCTGTCCCAGGGGACTGGAAGAGAAGCGGAACTCTGGGCTGTACGAACACTCTGTTCTGGTTTTGTTCTGTTGAAGACTTGTTTTTAGTTTGTTTTTGCACTGGCCAGGAGGGGCAGGGCTGGGAGGCTGGGGTGCAGTGGTTTCAGCAGAAGGAGTACCCCCGGAGCAGCGTAGGATTGGGGGACCTGGGACTTAGCTGTGAACACTTTGGAGGCTGATGCATGCGGGTCAGGAATGGGGGCCCCGCAGCTTGCGGTGACCCCGAATGGAACACAAACTGTACGTTTGCCAGTGGGATTTTTCAGACCGTGGTTTTACTGCCAATAAACCTCTGTCCTTTTCTGCAGGAGTGCTGGCCTCTTGTATCATGTGGGGAGGGTCTGGGGGCAAGTGGAGGCCTTCTCGGGTACAGAGATGGGGGTGCCTTCACCTGGGGGGAGAACCTCCACCCCAGTTAGACACAGACCTCAGACAATCCAGCCTCAAACAGAGGCCACAGATCTGGACAAGACAATGACAACTGCCACCAACTAGGCCATTCTCTGGACACGGGTGTCCCCACTGTGATCCTCCCCATGGCCCTCAGCAGCTTCCACCCTGAGTCCCAACCCCAGCTGGCACCTTGGAGATGGTTCCATGCCATGGCAGCGAATGCCCAAGTCAAGGGGTCACACCAATTATCTGGCCTCCCAGTGTGTATAAACCGTATGTGGACGCTCAGCCAGGAGACCAGGCTCTTCCCTTTCACACCCCTCCTCTACCCCACCTTGCCTCATGGTCCAGGATGGCTGCTGCGGTTCCAGCAGGCGAGGCCCACACCACACATCCCCTTGGATTTCCTCAGTGGGTCAGGCTACTCCTGGCTGTGGCAGAGGCTGGGAAGTACAGCTGTGAACTGGCCATGGCCACCCTGGAGAACTGTGGGGGCCTGTTGCCAAGGAGATAGAAGAGCACGGCTGTTGGATGGGTAGCCGGCCGCCTGGCACAAGGTTATCTCACAGATAGGGTGGTGTCTGAGTGACACTCCGCATATAATGGTTACTTCTCTACAGCAAGAGAACTGCACCTCTGCTGGCCTCTCAGACCCACACCCTGACCACATCGCTGTCTGTGGCCGGGGACTTGGCTGTGAATGTAAGAGCTGACCTGTGCAGTTCAGGCTGGGGGTTCCTGCAGGTTCTCCTGCTTCAGGGGGACCCTCTGTCCTCACATTTGCATCTGGGGAAGGGGCGGGGTTGGCTTTCTGTCCAAACGTGTTCCAGCAGAGTGTGACAAGAAGGCCTCGTCCGAGAGGCCCACGGGGAGCCATGGCCGTGGCCTGTACAGAGTCCACACGGGTGGGGTCTTTTCCATTACTCGTGCATCTGAGAGCTGGGCAGTGAATAAGGATGACGGAATAAGAACTGATGCCTTTGAGCTGCGGTGAAGAGTACGGAATAGACAGACCATGGGCAGCCAGAAAAACAGTCCCGTCTGTCTTGGAGAAAGCGCAGCCAGAGTGCTGCTCAGGTAAGGATGGTGAAGCTTCATCTCTCGTTCCGTGGATGGCTTGTTCGGAGAGTCTGTCCTTGGAGAGGGACATCATGCTTGGAAAGGTGGAGGGTGAGGGAAGGCGAGATGACCCTCAGCCAGGCGGACGGACACGGTGGTGCCGCCATCAGCCAGGCGGACGGACACGGTGGTGCCGCCATCAGCCAGGTGGACGGACACGGTGGTGCCGCGACACGGTCAAGCATGTAACAGTGTGAAGACGGACAGGGTTCAGATCTGTTGTTCATAGGATCACAGTGGGCTGTTCTCGGCAGCACATAACAGCAGCGGTCACTGGGGTGAGTATTACGAGACTGAAACGCTCCGAGCCACTATCTTCAGTCAGCTCGTGTGTATGATAAACAGACTCCGGAACCTTGAAGGAGAGTTGGTGCTTTTGAATTGCGGTGCTGAGGGAGAATATTGAATACAACGTGGATTCAGCCTGTCCTGAAGGAAGCCCAGCCGGATGCTCCTTTGGAGAAAGGGAGACCCACGGCGAGGTGGACACAGCCTGTGATAGTGGGGACGGCTCAGGGCCAGCCACTGTGTGGTATGTGGGGTTACTGGGCTTTAGAAGCAAAGCCATGGCACCTAACAGTGATGGTGCTTTTACATATCACAACATGTTAGATACCCACCCAGCCTTCTGATAAAAACAACAAAAATCGCCACATAAAATGTTCCTAAGCTTGTTGATACACTGGCAATTAAAAGTGTAGATGTGCAAAGCCCAGGGAGGGGGAATCCAGGAAGGGGCTGCCCCTGTAAGGGAGTTCGCTTGCCCAGGCGAGCCGGAGTGTGACCATAGCCTGGGCGGTCACTGGAGAGGAGACAAAGCCAGCACCCAAGGGGGGGCCTGGACCCAGAGTCCTTACCCTCAATGACAGGGTGACGACATGATCCCCAAAATACACCACCACCAAGGGAGATCAAGGAAGAAAGACACAAAACCTTCCCCGCGGAAGGTGCAGCCTTAACCCAGCACAAGGAGGCTGTGATCCAGGTCAGCACATCCTGTGGGGCGGAAAAGTCTGGATCTGAGAGTCGCACTGGATCCCAGGACAGGTCGTCGGTACCCCCGGCCCCTAGAAGGGAACACAGATCGTCTCTGGGAGAATACACTTTGAAATCAAGCCCTCAGGGAAGGTCTGGGAAACACAGTTTTACATCAAAGAGCTTAGGGTTGTCTCGGGGAGAGGGCAGGGCTGGAGTCAGCTGCACAGCAGAATACAAAGTGCACGTGTTCGAGGGGACCGGGAAGTCTTGGAAGTGAGTGTGGAGGGCCCGAGATAGTGAAAACTAGTCCAGGCAGCTGTGAAAGCTTGTAGACGTGCAAGAGGTTCATTCATTACCAGTTGTAGAAGCAGAGCTTTGTGTCTAACCCACACCCACTGCCTTCGAGTCCATGGTGACTCCCAGTGACCCTCACTGAGTTTCAGAGGCTGTAAATCTCCAGGAGAGGACACTGCCCATGTTTCTACAGAACAGCTGGTGGGTTTGAACAGCCAGTCTTTTGGTTAGCAACCTGCTATGTCACATACTACACCGAGATTCCTTTTCATTTGCATGATACATACCTTTTTCATGAAAATGTGCCCCATCTTTGCCTTCAGATAAATCTGAATGAAACTACAAACATTTAGGCTAGTTAAAAGAAATTTAAAATATCCAGCAAACCTCCATCAATTTGCAGATGAATACACATGTTTCTAAATAATTATTGACAAGATCCTAAAGAATTTTTAACTGAGTGACACACATTTCCGATCAAAGCTTCCAGAACCGGTTCCTATGTTGAACAGAGGGACACAGGTGGCCTCATGGCTTGCCGACCTCGCCCCACTGAGCTCCGCACCGCAGGGTCTGGGCTCCTGCAGATGGGAGGTTTGTG